AGGGGGGCGACTGGAAGCTGAGTCGAGAATGCAGAGCAGGGTTGGGCCTGATTGGCGTTTATAGTCAAGATAGTAAAGTGAGAACAGGCAGCGTATGTGTCTTTCTTCTGTGGTGTTGAGGTGCACAGGTGGAGGCGGAGGGGAGGGTGGGCCAGGCTGGAATGTGTGTGGGTGTCCAGGCTGACGCGACAGAGTGAGAGGGGGGCGGGGGCCTGGTTGTGGTGTGGTGGTGGAGCCTGGGATCTACCGGCAAGGGTGGCAGTAACCACGTAACCGTGACTGATTCAAGCCCATGTGGAGGATGAAGGTTTAGTGGAGATTCTAGAGGCAGAGCCGAAAGAGTCTTGTCGGGGATTAGATGTCCACACACTGGTTCACTAGTGACCTGCTCTGGGCCAGGCCTCCCTTGAGGTTCTGGGTGAAAGTGGTGAACAGACACCAGCATCTGCTGAACTGGAGCTGACACTCCGTGAGGAGGAATGGTCCCACGGGCTCGCAGGAGCTCAGGGCCCAGCTCTGGAGGCTAAAGGGAATAATGGGACAGGGTGGTAGGTACTGTTTTAGGGAGGGTGGGGGAAGTGACAGTTGAGCAGAGATGTGGGTGAGTGAGAAAGTGTTGGTCATGCAAATCCCGGGGCAGAGTGCTCTGGTGCGGGAGCGCCGGGTGGTGCCCAGGGAGCTGCAAGAGGCAGCGGGAGGTGGGTCTTGTGTCACAGCCTCAGCCCGAGGGGGACAGGGAGCCCCGAGGGCTGAGTGAACTTGGACGCGGGCCTGGCGCAGGCGGCCCAGCCGGCCCAGCCGGGGGTGTGGAGGGGCTGGGTCCTGCGGTGTAAAGGCAGGACTCACGGTCACGGGTGAGTTACCTCCATGAGCGTCGGTGACAATGATGATGGGGTCGAGTGGAGACCAGGGTGTTGAGTGAGGAGGTGGAGGGCTTAGTGAGGGACGGAAGGGCCAGAAGGAGTGGACGCTGCAGGAAGAGGGCCGGCGGGAGTGTCAAGGGCGCTGAGTGTTTGGAGGAGTCACATCGTTTGAAAGTGCTTGTGGGATCAAGAAGTCACCCACACTCCCTGTCCCTAAGTGTGTGGGATTGGACGTGACATCCCCATCCGAGAGGCCTGTGGGAGGAAGGCCTGGGGCATCCGGGCTGTTGTGAAGGCAGGGAGGTGAGGGCAGGGCTCTCAGCCCAGGGCGAGTTTGCCACCAGGGGGACACTCAGGGCTGTTAGAGTGGAAGTGCTGCCCAGGGGGAGGTGCTCGGGGTGAAGGGTGTTTGCCCTCAGGGCACGAAGCTCTGGGGCTGTGCTTTCTCGCCGCTCCCCTACCACTGCTCATAAGGTTTTGGCTTGATGAACACATACACATTCATTCACTCTGGGACACACACACGCGAGATCCTGTCTCCCTGTTTTATGTCGTATACAAGATTGAGTTGTAGGAAAGAACTATTTAGCTTTCTGGCCATTTGCAGAGCTACTGTAAGATGGTCTGCATAAGATGGGTTTACTGTAATGACAATCACTTGAGAACTGAGGGATGTGGTTTCCTAGGTGTGTGGGTCCAGTTAGATGCAGGCAAACTTAAGTTATGTAGGG